TCCAAAAAATGCCAAAAAGACTCTTTAGCCTTATCAAAAATACTGTTCACTTAGGTTCACTGTAAACACCTGGTCCACACACCCCTACCTTTCCTAAAGCCTCCTTGTTCATCTGCTATCCTATTCTCCGTCTTACTCTTAATTCTTTCAATAATAACTCTACCATACACTTTACCAGGTATACTCAACAGACTTATTCCCCTATAAAGGCAAAGGGGACAAAAGAGAGTTGTCCCCTTTGCATTTATACAAAGGAACTATGCATGCTCTCTGCCAATCACTAGGTACCTTACCTTCTTCCATACATTTATTAAATAATTGCACCAACCACTCCAAAACTATATCCCCACCTGCTTTTAAACATTTCTATCTTTATCCCATCAATCCGGGCTGCCTTACCCCCTTTCATTTACCTACTGCCTCACTGAACTTCCCCCCACTCACAACTGGCTCTTCCTCACTCCTACAAGATTTATTCCTCCTTGCCCTATACACGAAATCACAGCTTCCCTATCTTCATCAACATTTAACAATTCCTCAAAATATTCCCTCCATCTTCCCAATACCTCTAACTCTCCATTTAATAACTCTCCTCTCCTATTTTTAACAGACAAATCCATTTTTTTCTCTAGGCTTCCTTAACTTGTTAATCTCACTCCAAAACTTTTTCTTATTTTCAACAAAGTTTGTTGATAACATCTCACCCACTCTCTCATTTGCTCTCTTTTTACATTGCTTCACCACTCTCTTAACCTCTCTCTTTTTCTCCATATACTCTTCCCTCCTTGCATCACTTCTACTTTGTAAAAACTTCTCATATGCTAACTTTTTCTCCCTTACTACTCTCTTTACATCATCATTCCACCAATCGCTCCTCTTCCCTCCCGCACCCACTTTCCTGTAACCACAAACTTCTGCTGAACACTCCAACACTACATTTTTAAACCTACCCCATACCTCTTTGACCCCATTGCCTATGTTCTTGTTAGTCCATCTATCCTCCAATAGCTGTTTGTATCTTACCCTAACTGCCTCCTCTTTTAGTTGATAAACCTTAACCTCTCTCTTCCCTGATGCTTCTATTCTCCTTGTATCCCATCTACCTTTTACTCTCAGTGTAGCTACAACTAGAAAGTGATCTGATATATCTGTGGCCCCTCTATAAACATGTACATCCTGAAGTCTACTCAACAGTCTTTTATCTACCAATACATAATCCAACAAAGTATGTCATTTTGCCCTACATCATATCTTGTATACTTATTTATCCTCTTTTTCTTAAAATATGTATTACCTATAACTAAACCCCTTTCTATACAAAGTTCAATCAAAGGGCTCCCATTTTCATTTACACATGGCACCCCAAACTTACCTACCACACCCTCTCTAAAAGTTTCTCCTACTTTAGCATTCAGGTCCCCTACCACAATTACTCTCTCACTTGGTTCAAAGGCTCCTATACATTCACTTAACATCTCCCAAAATCTCTCTCTCCTCTACATTCCTCTCTTCTCCAGGTGCATACACACTTATTATGACCCACTTTTCGCATCCAACCTTTACTTTAATCCACATAATTCTTGAATTTACACATTCATATTCTCTTTTCTCCTTCCATAACTGATCCTTCAACATTACTGCTACCCCTTCCTTTGCTCTAACTCTCTCAGATACTCCAGATTTAATCCCATTTATTTCCCCCCACCGAAACTCCCCTACCCCCTTCAGCTTTGTTTCGCTTAGGGCCAGGACATCCAACTTCTTTTCATTCATAACATCAGCAATCATCTGTTTCTTGTCATCCGCACTACATCCACGCACATCCAAGCATCACAGTTTTATAAAGTTTTTCTTCTCTTTTTTAGTAAATGTCTACAGGAGAAAGGGTTACTAGCCCATTGCTCCCGGCATTTTAGTCGCCTCATACAACACACATGGCTTACGGAGGAAAGATTCTTTTCCACTTCCCCATGGACAATAGAAGAAATAAAGAACAAGAGCTATTTAGAAAAAGGAGAAAAACCTAGATGTATGTACATATATATGCATGTGTGTCTGTGAAGTGTGACCAAAGTGTAAGTAGGAGTAGCAAGATATCCCTGTTATCTAGCATGTTTATGAGACAGAAAAAGAAACCAGCAATCCTACCATCATGCAAAACAGTTACAGGTTTCTGTTTCACAGTCATCTGGCAGGACGGTAGTACTTCCCTGGGTGGTTGCTGTCTACCAACCTACTACGTTAGCATTACGATTTCGTGAGTCATGTCGACGGCTTTGAGGGGACTTAGAGCTAGAATTTGTCACGGCCATGCTAGCGGGAGATTCGTCTGTAAAAACTTGCATTTGTGGCCACAGTGGTGCCTATGCTAACCTTCCTATGGTGTAGAAATATACCTAGTTCGATGAATCTTATTGAAGCTAGCTGGCCCAGTGGTTAACGCAACGGTCTGGAGTTTTGACACACTCTGATCTCGGGTTCAAACCCCACGTGTGGTGTGGTTTTCTTGTCCCATTTTAGGAAAATCTTAAAGAGTCGCCAGAAACAGGCCTCTCTGGACAGATTTTTTGTACGACAGGTGTGCAGTAGCTCTCAAGCTGGTCCTAGTGCCAGTAAAAGACAAAGAAGGGAAGTAACCCCAGATAGCACTTTGATACTTGAAGCCCTTATGGAGGGGGATTTCCCTTCCAAACACTAACCTCTCCTCTCTCTCCCCTCCTTACCTTCTTCCATACACCAACAAGAGTCTTCAATAAAGATATTTAATAATGATTTAAATGTTCATTTATCCATTAAAATAAGTGCTTTATGTTTATTTCTCATTGTTTTCTGTAGTAAAAATTATAGTTATTCTCTATAAAATGTATTTTTTGTTAATATTTTTGGGTGTCTGGATTTACATTATTTCTTATGGGAAATAGTACTTTGGTTTTCATCCATTTCAGGTTTTCGACCAACCTTCTAGAACGAATTAAGGACAAAACCTGGGGTGCCACTGTACTAGATTCGCTTCATCTTGCTGAATATTGCATCCAATAGCATAAGAAGCAGTAATTATATATCACAGAGGCTTAGAGAAATGTGAAAATTCTCACACATAGATGCAATATGTGTAGCTGGTTGTCATTATGGCTTCATGTCCAATATTCCTGACATAACCCGTGATCTGACATGCAAAATCACAATGATGTATACTCCCAAAAAGATGGGTAAAATCTATAGTACCTACACTGAGACAGTTAATGAACAGCTGCAGGGCATCCAAGTAAAGCTGCACACAACCACATGCTTGAACTGTGTTTTGATTGGAAAATGCCTTTGAAGTACGTGCTGTGACTGAAGTTGCATGACAGATACTTTTTGCAATGTTCATCTGAAATAGCAAAACCATGTTTAAAAATTACAGTACCATACAGACATCCTATTAAAAAAATAATTACTGAAAAATATTGCTATCAAATATAAATAAAAGATGTTTTCAAAAATATATTTTATGCACAGTACAACCCCCATTTAATGGACCTCAGAAATATGGAACAAAATCCTCTGGGTCAACGATTGGAAACAGGGGGCAAATTCATTACTGTTACAATCAAGGCAAAACAATCGTTTCTCTAGTTACCCCATTCCCATTACTGGAAACATGTTTCCCCCAATTAGTCTTTTAAATAGGGGGTTTAGGGAAAATTTCCCTACTTTTAAACACCTGAATAAATTTGTTTCTTTTTTGTCTTTGTCAACTTTTTTATCCCCTTTACTTTTTCGTAAAAGAAGGTGAACAAAATGCATAAAATGTAAAAAGAAATGCTTACATCAGCACCGGGAGAAGAGGGGATGTAGAGGAGAGAGAGAGTTTTTTGGGGAGATGTTAAGCAATGCATAGGCACCTTTGAACCAAGTGAAGAAATTTGGGTAGGGGACCTAAATGCTAAAGTAGGGAAACTTTTAGAGAGAGTGGGGTGGTAATTTTGGGGGGTGCCATTTGTAAATATAAGGGACCCTTTGATTGAACTTTGTATAGAAAGGGGATTTAGTTATAGGTAATACTATTTTAAGAAAAAAAGGATAAATAATAAAAAATTTGATTGGGGTGCAATGACAGTAGTTTTTTGGGACATGTTTTGGGTAGATAAAAGACTGTTGAGTAACTTCGGGAGTACATTTTAACAGGGGCCCACAGATATACAATCACTTCTAGTTAAGCTAAGGAGAGTAAAAGGTGGTGCGCACAAGGAAAATAGAAGTAGCAAGTAGGAAGAATGAAGTGTTAAACAAAAGAGGAGCATTGGGGTAAATATAAACAACTATTGGGGGAAGATGGCTGTGAGATTAGGTAAGGGGTCAAAGTTTTAGGGGTAGGTTTAAAAATTAAATCTTAAATTTCAGCAGAAGTTTGGGGTTACGAAAGTGGGTGCCGGGGGGGAAAAAGAGCTTTGGGAATATATGTAAAGAGATGTAAGGGGGAAAAAATTAGCATATGAGAGTTATTAAAAGTAGAAGTGATACAAGGAAAGAGATTGGAGAAAAAAGGTTAAGGGGTGGTGAAGCAATGAAAAAAAAAGGCAAAGACGAGTGGGTGAAAGTTATCAAAAAATTTTTTTGTTGAAAATAAAAAAAAAAAAAGTTTTGGTGAGATTAAAAAGTTGAGGAACCCTGGGGAACAAAGGATTTGACTTAAAAATGGGAAAGGGGAGATTTTTTAAATAAGAGTTAGAGGTTTTGGGAAGAGGAGGGAATATTTTGAGGAAATTTTAAAATGTTGAGAAGATAGGGAAGTTGGATTTTGTGTATGGGCAAGGGGAATAACATCTTGTGGGAGGAGAAAGACCATTGTGATGTGAGGAAGTTTTAGAGGCGGGGGTGGAATAAATGGGAAAGGCCGGGTTTGAGGGGAAAAGATAAAATGTTACAAGAAAGGGGGGGAATAGTTTTGCATGGTTGGTGCTTTTTTTAATAAATTTTGGAAAAAGGGGAAAGGGCCCCCTAGGGACTGGCAGGAACAGCATATTTTTCCTTTGTAAAAAGGGAAAAAGGGGGATAAAAGAAGTAAAAATTTTTAAAAGGGGAAAAATCTTTTTTTGGGAGGTGGGTAGTAGTTGGTAACAGAAAGCGCCCAAGGGGGTACACCGTCCCCCAATGAGTGTAAAAGGGAACCTGAAATTTTTTTAAACACGGGGTAGGATTCGGGTGTCTTTCTTTTGTCTCATAAACATGAAAATTTCGGATGTTTTGCACTTCCTTACCTTGGGTCCACGCACAACAGTACAAGCAAACCAGGGGGGCCCCAAACCCATGAGGCATCGATTAATGATAAATCTACTACGATACTTTTTAAACGCAAAAATTTGGCCTCACACGTTTAAAAACCCCCAGCGCTATTCGTTCCGACCATACCTCCACTTTGGCCTGACGCGCCTCACTTTCCCTTTGGGTGCCAGTGTTAACAACCAGCCAGCCACCGGGGTCACTTCCAAACATACAACCGAACATTCATATTATCACAGCCTTTTTATGTTTCCCCTGCAAAAAAATCACCAGGGGCCCCCAAAAAACTTCTGGGCCCAAACCCTACACAAAAAGTGAGAATTACATGGAGATGAAAAAAGATCTTGATAAAATGAAAGTGGAGTGCGTATCTCTGATTTTGATCAGGTTAAATAAACCCCAAAAACCATCGCTACTATTGTGGCAAGAAAACGGCAATAAAGGAAGCGTTTTTTCCCCAAAGGTAAACTATTTTTTCGAAACTGAATCGCAAGTGATGAAAATGTAAGATTTATTTGTGGAAAAAGGGAAAAACAGTACAGGAACAGCATCCCAACGATCATATGTGAAAAGGCTAGGAATTTGCATGACTTTTAAATTAAAAAAATCCCAGCAACTATGTTTGAGTGAATTTAGGGCCGAAAAGGGTTTGGTTTTTGAGAGTTTAAAGAAGCGTATGCATTCATATTGAAAGGGCATGGTAAGCTGCCATTCGGACCACAAATTGGCTGAAAAATAGGGGCGGCTTTCAAGGAGTACATAGACAGTAAAGGGACTAAAACCCTGAAAAAGGGTTTTTAAATTGTGACGAAACAAACCCCTTTTTTTGGAAAAAATGCCAAGCGGGCCCAACATTACTCAGGGGGAAAAGGGCACTCCCAGGACAAATAAGCCTTGAAAGACGGGCTTACTCTTTTGATTTGCTAATGCAGTGGTGTTTGCAAAGGAAGCCTTTATTGGTGACACTCTAAAACCCCCAGATTTTTTCAGGAAAAACTTCCTAAAGGGCTAATTTGTGTGTGCTGTGGGGGGCAAACAGAAAGGGCAGGGGTCACTGGGGACTTTTTCTATACCTGGTTACACCACATTTGCCCCCAAATGGAAAAATTACCAAATTTGAAAAGAAATTAGCCTTAATGCCTCCTGTATTAGACAATGCCCCTGGGCATCCTAAGATTGGCGAGCGACTTTTTAGGGGCATACTTCATTAAGGGGAAGTTTTTGCCTCCTAAAAACAACTCCTCTCCTCAGCCCATGGACCGAAGGGCTTTCCAACTTCAAAACTTACACAAAACTATGTTTGAAAGGGCTTTTTATGCCTCAGAAACTCAAAGACTCTAAGAGAGTTTTTTAAAAAGATTTCACCTCAATTGTTTAAAAATTTAGGGAAGGCTTGGGAGGAATGACTAAAAGGACATTGAACTCGCTTGGAAAAAAAATTTGGGCCCGAATGTGTGACAAAAGGGGTTTTGAAGGATTGAGGCAACCCTGAAATCCTAGCCATTGGGAATCATTGTGGGATTTGGGGAAGTCCTTGGGTTGGAGGTTAGTGGGAGGATGTGGAAGATTGGTGGTGGAGGGCAGTGAAAAACTAAAACCCTTTTGACGAGCTGCAACACTTTAACACAAGAGGCAGACCTAGGAAAAATGCTTCGGAGGGGGGGAGAAGAAATTTAAGAATTTCCTACTTCTAAGAAAAAGGAAATGTGTGCAAAGTGGGTTTTTAAATGCAAACCTTTTTTGATGAAAATCCCCTGACACAGCTACGCAAGCCGTGTTGGGAACCTGACACTGACAATTTTGTGAACCACTTTAGGAAAGTCAAAAGAACAAGAGGTATAGGTATCTTGGACAGATATTTGTGCGACAAACCCGGGCTCTGAAGCTGGTACTAGTGGCATTAAAAGAAAAAGGAAGTAACCCCCGAAAAAGACTTGCTGCCCAATGCTAATGGGAAAGGGGGGGTTCCCCCTTTTAAACACTAACCACCTCCCCCCCCCATCCCCTCAATCATCACCAATCTCAAAAAGGCAATTCATGTAACTGTGCATGTAACTTTATTTGTGTTATTAAAAATTTAAATTCATTGGGAAAATTTTTTTTTTTTTTAATACTTTTGGTGTCTTGCACGGGTAATTTGATTTCCCCCTTTTTCTTAGGGAAAAAATTAAAATTTACTAACGATAATTTGACTAACGAGAGCCTCAGGAACGGATTAATATCGCTGTTGAGGGTCCACTGTATAACCACAAAACCCCTCTGGGTTTTTCTTCTATTTTCTTTTTAGTTCTTGTTCTTGTTCTTGTTTTTTTATTTTCCCTTCTCTCCATGGGGAAGGGGAAAAGAATTCTTTCCCCCTTTAACCATGCATGGTTTTAAAAGGACACTAAAATGCCAGGCAAGGGCTATAACCCCTTCCCGTACAAAACTAAACTGAAAAAGAAAAAATTTTTTGGTTTTTTTTTGGGGCCACCCCCTTAAGGGGGAAAAGGCCAGTTTGTTGAAAAAAAAAATCTGTCCATATACCTGTAAAGTGTAGGTAAATTATTATTGAAAGAATAAGAGTAAGACAGAGTAGGATGCAATAACAAGGAGGGCCTAGTGAAAAACAGTGAAGAGTTTTTATGAAATAGTAGGGTCAGGTTTTGAGTATGTGGGGAAAAGGGGGAAATTTTTTCCCAGAAAAAGGCCTTTGACAAGGATTGTGATGTCACCATGGGGTTCAAATAATTCATATGGGGGTTTTAAGAGAATGAATGCATGGGCTTGGGAAGAGGGGGACTTAAAAGATTAAGAATCAAACACAAAGTGGGGGTTTTCACAGTTTCTCTTTGCTGATGAACGGTGTTTTGGGAGATTCTGAAGAAAGTTTCAGAGGGTTTTTTTTTTTTTTTTTTTTTTTTTTTTTTTAAATTTTTTTTTTTTTTTTGGAATTTTTTTTTTTTTTTTTTTTTTGGGTTTTTTTTTTTTTTTTTTTTTTAAATTTTTGATTTTTTAAAATTTTTTTTTTTTTAAAAATTTTTTTTTTTTTTTTTTTTTTTTTTTTTTTTTTTTTTTTTTTTCACAGGTACACATAAATACAAGTATACGTAGTATAATTTACCTAGG